GAGGTGATTGAAAATACCGTGGCTTGGGTCAGGCGCACCGTAGTCCTCAAAGTGATGTCTTTGCTTTTCCACACTGTAAACACGTCTTTTGCAGCAGATTTTTGCAATGCAATAAGTCGTCATTTGATTTCTTGACTGCTACTTCCAGGGCATTGATTGTGCATCCAGGTAAAATGAAATCCTAGACAATGTCAATATTTTCTCCATTTATCATGATGTTGCTTATTGGTCCCGCTGTGAGGATTTTTGTTTTCTTTATGTCGAGGTATAATCCATACTGAAGGCTGTGGTCTTTGATCCTCATCAGTAAGTGCTTCAAGGCCACTTTACTTTCAGCAAGCAAGGTTGCGTCATGTGCATATCGAAGGTTGTTAATGAATTTTCCTCCAATCTTGATGCGAGTTTCCTCTTCATATAGTCCAGCTTCTCAGAGTATTTGCTCAGCATACAGACTGAATAAGTATGGTGAAAGGATACAACCCGGACGCACACCTTTCCTAACCTTAAACCACACAGTATCCCCTTGTTCTGCTCAAACAACTGCCTTTTGATCTATGTACTGTTTCCTCATGAGCACAAAGAAGTGTTCCAGAATTCCCATTCTTCAAAACGTTATCTATAATTTGCTATGATCCACATAGTCAAATGCCTTTGCATAGTCAATAAAACACAAACATCGTTCCGGTATTCTCTGCTTTCAGCCAAGATCCATCTGACATCAGCAATGATATCCTTCATTCCACGTCCTCTTCTGAATCCAGCCTGAATTTCTGGCAGTTCCCTGTTGATATACTGATGCCGGGGATGGATTACCCAATAAGCAAGTTATGCCTAGGTTTAATTGTGCTTACTTACTAATCTGTAGTGCACAATTTCATCAAAGATGTGGTGAAACCCACGTGAAATAGATTGGAAAATATGGCCTTGGTGATAGGAATGATACCGGAGACTTCATGATAGAATTTTGCAAGACCAACGACTTACTCATTGGAAATACCTTTTTTCAACAACACAGATAGCAACATAGATAGCAACATAGATGGACCTTGCCCGATGGAATACACAGGATCAAATTGACTACATCTGTGGAAAGAGACGACGGAGAAGCTCAATATCATCAGCCTAGAAGGCCAGGGGCCGACTGCGGAACAGACTATCAATTGCTCCTATACAAGTTCAAGTTAAAGCTGAAGAAAATTAAATTCTTCTTCTTTGTTTCCAACTTTTGCGTTCCAATCACCAGTAATTATCGATGCATCTTGATTCCATGTTTGATCCATTTCAGGCTGCAGAAGTTGGTAAAAATCTTCCGTTTCTTCATCTTTGGCATTAGTGGTGGGTGCATAAATTTGAATAATAATCGCATTAACTGGTCTTCCTTGTAGGCATATGGATATTATCCTATCACTGACAGCGTTGTACTTCAGGATAGATCTTGCAATGTTCTTTTTGACAATGAATGCAATGGTATTCTTCTTCAATTTGTCATTCCTGGCATAATAGACCATATGATTGTCCAATTCAAAATGGCCAATACCAGTCCATTTCAGCTCACCAATGCCTCGGATATCAATGTTTATGCATTCCATTTCATTTTTGACGACTTCCGATTTTCCTACATTTATACTTCGTACATTCCATGTTCCAATTATTAATGGATGTTTGCAGCTGTTTCTTCTCATTTTGGGTCTTCCCACATCAGCAAATGAAGATCCTGAAAGCTTGACTCCATCCACGTCATTAAGATCGACTACTTTGAGGAGGCAGCTCTTCCCCAGTCATATTCTGCGTGCCTTCCAACCTGAGGGGCTCGACTTCCAGCACTATATCAGACAATGTTCTGCTGCTATTCATAAGGTTTTCACCGGACAATAATTTTAGAAGTAGATCGCCAGGTTCTTCTTCCTAGTCTGTCTGAGTCTGGATGCTCCACTGAAACCTGTTCACCATGGGTGACCCTGCTGGTATTTGAAATACCAGCGGTATAGCTTCCAACATCACAGCAACACGCAAGCCACCAGAGTACAACAAACTCACGGATGAGTGGGTGGTGGCGCTCTCTCTCCCTCCCCAAGTCCTTCCCCGATGTGAAGAGTGGTTATGGCTGGGTAGTGGAAGTACAGATGATTAATTTCCCCCCTTTTCTATGCTCTCTGTAACGACCAGGTATTCTTACAAGAACAGATAGAAAAAGAATAGATGTTATTTTTTTTTAAATAGTGTATATAAGCTTCGAAATAACATTGGAAAGTGCTTGCGTTAGCTAAGAGCAGAATCTACATTGAAACCGTAGTGAGATCTTAACCGATGTAAAGTATATGCTCAGGGAGAAAAATCTGGAAGGAAATCCATGGATGGTTGCCCCCGGGGAACTGAGTATGAATGATTTTTTGGACTTATCTGTGTTTTCAGTTTTACTACAGAGTATGTGTTATACTCTTACCAAAGAAAAAACTGTTTTTCAAATAATCACACGTGGCCTGCGGAGTGTTAAGCTGCGTTGTGAGTGAGCATCATCTGAGGCAACAACGCGTGCGGATACAGCAGCTGCGCAGGACTCCAGGGCTAGTTCGCAGCAGCTTTTGCGTATTTGCCTTAACCCCCTCAGCCCTCCTCAAGAGCAAGAGACATCGGCTGCTCGTCCTGGTGTTCCCCAGCCCACAGGTCCCGCACAGCCTCCTACGCTCAGAACCCGCACCGTCCTCCCGGGTTGGGCTGAGCTGAGCCGTGCACACGCCCAGGGCGCTCGGATGCCTCGCCGACCGCAGGTGGGGCTCTGGCGCCCCCAAGTGCCCTGACGGGGAAGTGCATGTGGACGCCCTCGCTTACAGGTGACAGGCCTTCTTGCTGGCGCCTACAACGCCATGGAAGTCCTGGTGGTGCAGTGGTTAAGAGCTTGGCTGCTAACCCAAAGGTCAGCCGTTTGAATCCACCAGCCGCTCCTTGGCAACCCACGGTGGGCGGGGATCAGGGTTCCCGGTGTGACCCGAGGCTTTTCTCCTCTCATTAATTTTGCATTCACCAATTTTACTTTCCCACACTCTCTGAAACGCTCTTTTCCTCGCTGACTTTCGACCGCAGGGTCGACTCCTCTGCTCCACGGGACATAAACTTTTGTTTTATCGTCACTATTTTTTTGTTTGGACGGGAGCATGATGTCACAGAGGGAGCAGGTGTCTGCAGCCAGGACCCTTGGGTCTCCGCCACCTACTAGCTTTGTGGCCTTAGGCAAGTTAACTGAGCCCCTACTTTCAGGGGCAAAAGGGACAAAGATGGTGTGAGGGTCAAAATGGGTAGTGCAGAAATGCTTTGGAAACCATAAAGGGCCAGGGAAAGTTTAGTGACTATAGCTCATTCACCATGTGGGGCTCTTGCCCTCAATTAGGGCTCCTCATTCCCCCAAGTTAGAAGCCATCTCCCCTTCTGAGGCCAAAGGGCACTGACTGACATGTTGTCTTGTTCACTTCCTCATCCACCAAGCTGAGCACAGAGTGTGGCATGAAGGGACATTAACTGCTGGGTTTCCAAATAAGTCCTCAATTTTTCCTGCTGTCCTCTCCCCAGCTCCTTCCTTCCCCTTTGTCCTTGCCTCGAGGCCCTGAGGAGTGGTCACCCTCAGACGGGACCCATAGTGTTTGTCTTAATACTCACGAGCTCAGGGGCTGGCGTGTAGAAGGGGCTTGATAAACGCCACTCAGGTGAAGGAAGTTAGGAAGGAAACCTCTTTCTTCAGGCTCTACCTCATTTCTGCACTACTCTGAGGAGCTTCCATGGCAGAAAGACACACACTGGGTGAGTGATGCCTATCTCCAAGCCTCTCCCCATCAGCCACCACGTGAGTGCCCCAGTTGGCACCTGAAGTGCTCTGAGGCTTCATCCTTTCTTATCCCCTCTAGAGCAGGGATGGGGCCGGGCAGTGATGACCATGGGACACTTGTGTATGTGTCTGCCCTCAGAACACATCATGACGCCCACCAACAAACACAGACCACAGCAGCCAGGGATAGAAACAACTAGTGTATTGATTTGGGGAGGAGAAGAGGGGTGCAGATGGGAAACAGGGAAGCGAGGGGTTCCTTAGTGTTTGCCAAAAACCACTGCCACTCTCCCTCCACCCCTTCTCACCTTCCTCCTCTGGGGTGGGGCCCCAGCAGACTCTCACCTTTTCTTGTAGGCTTCCCTCTCCCTCCCCCTTGCACCCCACTTGACCTGGACCTTCTGTGACTGACCAGAGCCCACCCCAGCTCGAAAGCTGGGCTAAGGCAGATTCAGACTAACCCTTCTTCCACTTCCCACCTCATTCCCATCTCTTGTCTAACTAAAATACAGAAAAAGCAAGCACAGCTGGTACCTGGGACAATCAACTCACCCCGGGGTTGGGGGTGGGGTGGGGTCTGGGGGTGGGGCAGGCAGAGGAGCTTTGCCAGGTGTCCTGGAATGGGAGGCTGGGCCCAGCGGGCCTGGCTCAGCCCTCCTCCCTCAGAGGCTGGCCTGGTGATGGGCCTGCCACCTGGGAGGACGCTTGGGCAGAGATGACTCCACGCCTGCCTCTCAGGCACCATGTCACAGGGTCCCCGGGGTGGGGGCAGCAGCCAGGGTAGAAAAGCGAAAACTAGACTCTGTAAAAGCACCCTTTTCCCTCAGCTCCTAGGGGAGGCCCTCTTTGGTTTTAAGGCAGATACGGCATTTCCTGGGAGCAGGGAAAAGGAAGGAGATAGAAATTCGGATTAGATGCCTTTTTTTTTTTTTTGCGCTTGTGTTTTTCCTTCAGTATAAAACCACTGTAGAAAATAACTTCTCTTAGAAAAAAAAAAAAAACACAGAAGAAAAAACCAAAGGGGTATTTTTCTTTGGCTTCAAGCCCCCACTCCTGAGGTGCAGAGTCGGGGGGTGGGTGCGAGGTGAGGAAGAAGCAGGAGGCCTCCGCCCCACCCTGCCCTGGCAGGTCCCGGATTACATGATGCTGCAGTTCTGGGCGCTCTAAGAGAGAAGAGCGACAGGGAGAGGTGTGAGTGTCAGTGCCTGGTCCCGTCCCATCCCTCCCTTGCTCCAGACGGCGGGTGCTGTCTCCTCCTGTCCCCCATACTCCAGCCCTGCTCCCGCCCTCCAGTCTGGGGCGCAGACAGGAGGGGCAGGACACAGGAGTGGACTGTCTTGGACCCTGGGCTGAGGGGAGGAGGCTCCCCCTCCCCCGAGCTGCGGGAGAGAAGGCTGTCCCCCCCAAAGGGCCCCTGTCCTAACCTGCCTGCGGGCTGTGGAGACGGAGCGGAACTCACCTGGGTTCGGGGACTGGAGTTGCCCAGGAGGTAGGAGCGGGTGACCAGGCTGTCCCCGAAGCTGCCACCCCCACTGCCCCCCACACTGCGGTAGCTGCGAGTGACCGTGACACTGGAGGCAGAAGATCCAGAGGAGATGGATCCGCCCACCTGGGCTCCAGGGCCGCTGGCCGAAGCCTTGTCGGCAGGCTGCCCGCACGTCCCGCACAGCACGGTGCGTGAGCGCAGGTTGTACTCAGCGGGGTCCCCCGAGCCGCCGCTGTGGGAACCCTGAAGAGGAAGACAAGGCTCAGGCGGGACGGCGAGCCTGGGACTGACCGCCCAGGCCCAACACCCGGGCTCCGGGCTCCTGTAGGCTCCCAGCCACCAGGCAGGGAGGTGGGGCTTCTGTGCCCAAGGAACCAGAGGGCAACGGGGGCTGGGGAGGCCGGGATTGGTGGGGGGGAGGGGGGGAAGCATGAGGGGGAGAAGGGTGCTCAGCTCAGGAAGCCTGAGGGAAAGGGAACAGGCGTGTGTCTTTGACTCTGTTCCAGCTAGTCTAAGCTTCAGAGGAAAAGGAGAAAGAGAACAAGCTTATAGCACAGCAGGCATGCTGGGGGGTAGAATGAGAGAACATTCCTGCAGGAAAAGGGGGAAATGAGAGGACATGCATGCAGTGGAGACGGGGGAGAGACAAGACAGGAAATGCAGACGGCAGAAATGGGGGGAGAGAGGCAGGGCTGGGGTGCCCCACATCTGTCCTCCCGGCCCCTTCCCAGCGGACAAATCCAGACCCTTGTCCCCTGCTCCCATGGAAACACTCCATGGCATCAGAAAGTTCCCCCTCCCTTCTTTACCAGAGTAGGGCACCCAGATGCCTGGGCTCCCTGTTCAAGGTAGAGGGAGGGGAGAGAAGAAAGGCTAGGGCAGCAAGTGAAGTTCCAAAATATTCTTTAATGAAAAGATTTTTGGCGTGGGGAGGCCTGGCTGGGTACCCAGCGCCGGCTCGGCCTCAGCGGCGGCTGCCACTCACGTGGTGGTGATGGAGCAGGTCATCTCCGTCCTCATCCTCGTCGTCATCAACCACAGTCACTGAGCGTACCAGCTTGCGCATGGCCACCTCCTGCCAGGGACACGGGACCAGGCCCGAGGGTCAGGGCCGCTGGGAAGGAGTGTGCAGCGTTTCCACCCCCAGCGACCACCTGGGACCCTTCGTGGTCTACCCTTGGTCCACCCTGCTGCTTCCTCTGCCTCTGTGGTGTTAAGAGGTGGGGAACTTGTTTCTGCCTCAAAGAGAGGGACCCCATCAAGCTCTCTGGGTATGGCTCTGCCCTTAACAATCCTCCTGTCTAACGTCCACCTCTCATAATGAGCCACCGGGGGAGGCATCTTTGGTGTGCCCACTGGGTAGGCGGTTGGGGCCTGCGACCGCACCAGCCAGCTAGGGGAAGGTGGCCGAGTCGGCGGGCTCCCTTGGGTTGGCGGAAGCTAGCTGATGCGGCCACCAGGGGGAGCCTTGTCCAACGAGCGGCCCGCCCGCAGCATACTCACGTCTCCGGTGGAGTTGATGAGCGCTGTACGCAGGCTGTTCCCGCAGCCCCAGGTGTTCTGTGCCTTCCACACCAAGTCGGTGGGGGGGCTATGCGTGGCCCCGGCTCCGGCAGCCCAGATCTGGAGAGGCAGGATCAGAGACGAAGAGCTCATTCCACCACTCCCACCCTCAGGCCAGCACGTCCCCCCACAAGGCCGTCCCCCGACCTGCCACTCACCGTCACCGCCTGCCCAGCCTTCAGAGTGAACTTTGGTGGGAAGCGGTAGGTCAGCAAGGGGTCGTCTCCATTCTGGCGCTTGATCTGCCAGTTGCCCATGGACTGGTCCTGCCAGGAAGGGAAGGAAGAGGAACGTGGGGAGACTCACCCCGGCTTCTGGGTTTATCTCACTCAAGTGTCCGGGCAGCCCTCCCCGGCCTGCGATCAGAGCCCCCCACCCCTCAAAGGATAACAGCTACAGTCTGGGGGGCCAGGTGCACTTGAAGCTTTATCGTTAACCTTCCCAACAACTCAAAGAGTTCGGAACTATTATTTAACCCCATTTTACAGATGAGGAAACTGATGCCCTGGGAGGTTTAATAACTTGCTCACAGTCTCCCAGCCAATATGTGGTGGAGAGAAGGCTGGATGGAACAAGAGCGCTGAATGAAGACACCCATGATCGCCCTGGCCGGCCCCCTGAGGGGCGGGACATTCTCCAACTTTTCCGGGGTTCTCCCTAACCCAGCTGCCCCCTCAGATCCGGGCCTGGGGCCGCCTACCTCATTGGACTTGTTGCGCAGCCGCACGAACTTGCCCTCCTCGTCCACCTCCTCCACGGCCACGCGCCCGCTGGTGCGCGCGTGCTGCGAGAAGCTGCTGCGGCTCTCGCTGGTCTCCAGCTTGCGCTTCTTGGTGATGCTGCCCCCGCTCTGCGTCTGGGACGAGTGGGAGGAGGCGCGGCCACGGCTGCGCTGTGAGGTGGGGCTGGGGGACAGGCGTAGCCTGGGGAGAGGGGGACAAAGCAGAGGGCCTAGTCAAGGCCAGTGGCAGGCCAGAGGCCACTCCTAGCCCCTCCCAGACTCCTCCCCAGCCCACCTCTCCTCCTCGCCCTCCAGGAGCTTGCGGTAGGCGTGGATCTCCATGTCCAGGGCCAGCTTGATGTCCAGCAGCTCCTGGTATTCGTCCAGCTGCTGCTGCATCCTTGCCCGCATTTCTGCCATCTCCCGCTCCTTCTCAGCCAGCAGCCGCCGGCTGGTGTCCCGCTCACGGGCCAGGGAGTCCTCCAGGTCCCGCAGCTTCGACTCCTTGGCTGCCAGCTGGGATGGAGGAGGCAGGGGTCTGGTGAGTTCCAAAGGCCCCAAAGAGTATGAAGAGGGAGGGGCATGACTAAGGGGTGGGGGAGACCCAGCTACCCTCCCCAGGACCTCCAGGCTTCCGTCAGAGCCCCTCACGGGTTCTAATAGGGCCTTGGCTAGTGACGGAGCAGTCCTTCCCAATGTCTAACTGAAACTGCTCGTTCTGAGGCTAAAACCTACTCCCTCCTGTCACAAAGGGCACAGCCAGCGAATACTGATGCTTTAAACACCTTATATTTTATAAAAAAAACAGTTGCTGTCGAGTCGATTCTGATTCATGCCAACCCCATGTGTGTCAGATTAGAACTGTGCTCCACAGGGGTTTCGGCTGGTTTTTTCCAAAGTAGATCACCAGGCCTTTCTTCCAAGGTGCCTCTGGGTAGGCTTGACCCTCCAACTTTTTGGTTAGCAGCCGGGCACGTTAACCGTGCACACCGCCTGGGGACACCTCACATTTTTTAGGACTTTATACTTGGACTCATTTGAGGGTCTTGGCAGATCTGGGAGTTAGGGAAGATAAGAATGGTCTCTGCTTTCCAATGGGACAGACAACCAGGGCTCTGCGAAGTCAAGGTCACGTAGATGAGATAAGAGGTAGTGCCGGAAGAGCTCAGGGCACCTGACTCCAAATCCGGGCCCCTTCTCTAGGTCTGTGGGGCATGTTGTGTCCCTCGCCTCTACCCTCCCATCCTCAGCAAGCCCCTCTGGGCCTCCACCCTACATGCTGCCCAGATAGTGGCCTGTGGGGCGCGGAGGCGTCACCTGCTTCTGGAGCTGGCTGAGCTGGGCCGAGAGGCTGTCGATGCGGATGCGAGACTGCTGCAGCTCCTCGTGGGCGGCCCCCACCAGGTTGCTGTTCCTCTCGGCCGCCTGCCTGGCATTGTCCAGCTGGAGGGAAGGATGTCGGGTTAGGATGCAGGGAGGGAGGGAGGGGCCTGAGCCCGCATCAGTACGGCAGCCTCAGGTCCTGGGCCGCCCTGAGCTCCCCACCCTCGCCCACCTGATCCCCCATGGAACCTCCCAGTGTGGGCTGGGACGGGGCTGCTGGGGGCAGAGGCAACAAGGGCACCAGGAGAGCAAGCACCTTAGCAGAATACGTCTTCTCCAGCTCCTTCTTGTACTGTTCCACCTGGTCCTCGTGCTGGGCCCGCAGCTCCTGCAGGGCGTCCGCCAGCCGGCTCTCAAACTCACGCTGCTTCCCGTTATCGATCTCCACCAGCCGGGTCTCATGGCGGCGCTTGGTCTCACGCAGCTCCTGGAAGGGTTGGAGCAAGGACACAGAAACCGGAATCAGTATTATCCTTGGAAGCTGAGCCCCAGATGGCCGAGCTCCCTGCCCCACCTGAACCCCACGGACTACTGTCACCCCACTTTAACCTGGGAGCTGGGTGTTGGCCACCCCCCACTCCCCATCCACCGGTACAAGGGACTCAGGCCGGTGAGTTCTGCACACAGCTGATCCCACAGCCCAAGACCTGTGTCTGTCACACCCAGCCCTGGCCTCTGGCCTGTAAAGCTCGGTCCCCACCTCACTGTAGATGTTCTTCTGGAAATCCAGTTCCTCCTTCAGGGTCTGCAGCCTGTTCTCAGCATCCACCCGCCGCAGCATCTCATCCTGAAGTTGCTTCTTGGCCTCACCCAGGGCTGCTTCGAGCTACGAGGAAGGGGGCAGAGGTCAGAGCCTGGAGGAAGGGCCCTTCCCAGGATAGGAAACAGGACCAAGGGGAGTGAGGGCCTCGGATGCCCGCTGATGTCACGACATCCACTCACCCACAACAACCACTCTGGGTGGGTACCGTGCTAAGAAAATAAAGATACGCTCCTGCCCAGCCCCATAGATCTCCCCCTTTCCTAGCACAACATCACAATTGCTGTCAAGGAAGTCCGTGCAAAGTATAAAGGGAAGACAAGGCAAGGAACCAAAGTGTGCCTGGTGGAGGGGGAGCCTGGGATGGCATCCAAGAGGCTAAGACTCAAAGGATGGGTGAGTGGGCGCTGGCTTGTAGGCTGGGGGCGGGGAGGGGCAGGGAAGGGTGCTGAGGTATGAGGGCACACACACGTGTTCTGGGGCCTCCAGGAAGATCAGGACTGCGGAAGCCTAACATGCAGGCAGGGAGAATGATGGGAGAGGTGGCAGGACTGGGAGACAGGCTGGGTCATAAAGAGACGGCCTTATTGGCTATGAATAGAACCTCTGAAGAAGTGTGAGCAGGGGAGGACTTTGCTGAGATTTTCACTTTAGAAAGTACAGGCTGGCAGGCGCAGCTGGGAGAGGCCGAGGGAAGAGGTGGAGCTGGAGGCATGAGACCCAGGAGGCGCCTTGGTTTTGTAGTCACCTGCAGCCATCTCCCGGTCTCTCCACGGCGCACCGCGGTGGTGGGGCCTGGGCAGGGAAAGCCCAGATGGAAGCTGGGCAGCTGGTTCTAGTCCTGGCCCTGCTCTGAACAGATGAGGCTGTGAAATTGGAAACAAGCCAGCATCTTTGCTTCTGTTCCCTAACTTGTACCATGAGAAATTAGAGGAGAGAATAGATAGCAAAGTGTTTTGAAAGCAAAAGCCACTGTAACCATGCCAGGCGTTATTAATATGCAACCCACATGCAATTAACCATCAGCCCTGGCTATGCCCTCGGTGGGTGGTCGACAGCTCCTCTCCTTTCTTCCAGAGAGAGGTCAGGGGCTGTTTACAGGAGGGTCATACTGGCGTGACTCAGGGCCAGGCACAGTTCATTACAAAGTTCAACGGCAATGGCCATGGCTGTGATTTAAATTCACTCTGCCAGATACCGTGGGCAGCCAATGGATGCGAGATGGTCTACATGGGTGAACTGATGCCAGGACAGGTGAATGGCTCTGACACCATGTCAGACCAGGCACCTCCGGAGGACGGGCTGGGTAGAAGAGTGAGTGTGCATGTGTTTGGGGGGTCAGGTGGGGTCACGGGCAGGCCCTGGAGGGTGGTCTTACCTTGGCCACCTGCCCCCGCAGGTCATGCAGCTCACCGTCCAGCGTGCGCTTCTCACTGAGGGCGGTGCTCAGTGCGGCCTCCTTGGAATTGAGCAGAGCCTCCAGGTCCTTGAGGCGGGCCTGGGCGGCCAGCAAGTCTCCCTCCTTCTTGGTATTGCTAAGGAAGAGAGGGAAGAGTGCGTTTGGGAGGAGTCCACGACCCTAGAGAGGTCCCCTATGGGGAATGAGATGCTGCCATGGGAGCTGGCTCTGTTGTTCCCCCAAATACCAGGAGAGGGCGTCCTTGGCTTTAGGTCTGTTTGTATCTGCCAGCCTCTGGGGCCTGGCTCCCACCTCCCCCAAGGTCCCCCAAAACCCCCTTCCTGCTTCTTCACCCTTGCCAAGACTCAGGGCTCAGGAACGTGCCTAGGGCTAAGGGCAAAGCTGGATCCCACGATATGAATGCTTTTCCCTCTTTCCCCTCCCATCTCTTCCCAAAGAGACAGGGGCACCTTTGTCTCCTGCCCTTCCCACAAGGGGCCATAATGGCTCTTCCCCGGGCTCCAACCACCTTCCACTCAGCCAAGCCTCCCTGCCCATGGGGACCCAGACAGCCAGGCTCCCAGCCTTGGGGGTCCATGTGTCCCTAACACTTCTCAGTTTGAGCCCCAAAGGTGTTGGCCCTTCTCCTCTCCGCCCCCTTTTCCACACCTCAGACTGTGGGGAAGGAAGTCTGAGACAGCAGGGATGACCAGGCAGAGTACTGGCCCTTCTCCTTCTCAGGCCCCATCTGGGTTCTCTGATCTGGGCAGAGCAGAGGGCTTCCAGCCTCCGTCCCTCCTTCCCTCCCTCTGAGAGCATGCTGAGCCCTAGCCTTTGGCCACAAGCCTCAACATCTGGCTCCAGATGTGGCTCTCAGGCCTCCGGGTCCTTCTGGGCTCCATCCTTGAGTCTCCTCTGCTCCTCAAACTGGGTAAAGCTTTAGCTAGACCCAATCAAGCAGGTTGCCATGGCCACCTCCCTCCCCTTTCTGGACTCCTGATTTTGCTGCATACCAAACCGGGGAAATAGAGTCCTGTTTTCTTAACAGGGAGTCCCTAGGAGGTGCAAACGGTGAACGCACTTGGCTGCTAACCCAAAGGTTGGAGGTTCGAGGAACCTGGAAAGAAAGGCCTGGCAATCTAACTTCCGAACCATCAGCCATTGAAAATCCTATGGAGCACAGTTCTACCCTGACACACACACACGGGGTCACCACGAGTGGGAGTCAACTCCATGGCAACCAGTTACTGGTATTCTTAAAAACCTCCCAGGAACCCAAGAACCTTCCAGAGGTTATAATCCCTTCACAAATAGACAGTGAGGGGATGCTGTAGATCCAGGGAGCGGAGGGAAAGATCCAAGAGGCCTAGTCCCAGATGCCATCTGCAACTCATCAGTCCTTAAGCGCGAGCTACCACAGCAGATGGAAAAAAAATCAAACGTGGGCAGTGACAAAAAAACCCCTATCCTGGAGAAGAGAAATGCAGCCCTGCCAATATTGTTCTCCTGCTCGCAAAGCCCTAAGCTTCAAAAGACCCAACGATTCACGGGACAGAACGAGGCTAGACTTGACGAAGCGGTGGAGGGAGGGGTGAGGCCGAGGCTGTGCTCCCCGCCGCCCTCCAGGCTTAGGAGATTCCACTGGGATGGCAGGGGGACAGAGCCCTGTCCAGAGGGGCAGGGGAAGGGTGTGAAGACCAGAGAGAGCTCCCCAGCTGCAAGCTTGCTCCTTGCAGGCCTCTGGCTGTACCTTAGAACAAATTGTTTAATGCAATAGTGTCGGTTGCCTGCAAAAAGAGGCCCTTCCAAAACTGGAGGATGTCTCCCCTCCTCCGTCTCAGCCAGAAAAGCTAAAAATAAAGTCAAAACCCGGCTCAGGTTTTGGCTGCCATCCGGCCCAGCCCCTGGCTGGGACACAGCCCCAACTTTCCATGACTTCAAAACTTTTCCGAAGCTGAGGCTGCTGCAGGGGGAGGAGAGAAAATGAAGAAAACCCTGGTAAAGTGAAGCGCTGCGCAGACATAGATTCCGAGCTCCCTGGGCAGACTCCAAGGCCGCAGGGACTTCCCAGAAGAGGCCTCTGCGCCCTGAAGGCAAATGGCTGCAGCTGGCCACCCGGAGAGGCAGGGGAGGCCCTCAGCGCTCAGAATTTAGAGAACTGGAGTTCAGAGCCTGTTCAGCTCAACCCCCTCCCTTCACAGACAAGCAAACTGAGGCACAAAGGAGGAAGGTGAACGGCCTGGCATCTCACACGGCGAGCCAGCAGCAGGGTCCGGGTTAGAGTTCATTCTGGTCTCAGACTCCTCCTCCTCCACCTCACCGCCTGCCTCAGCCACAAGGTCCCGAGAACCGGGAAGCTGAGCGGAGGGAAAAGGGCAGACGCTGTGGCATCCCCGACAGCCAGCCTGCGCTGGGAGAAGCAGGAAGAGCCACAGGGTGGTTTCAAAAGACATCTCAAGGGCATCATCTCTTTCCGAGTCCTGCCTCCCGGCTTCCTTAGACACCCAGAAGAGGAATTCCTGGAGTTCTCCTTGGTAACACCGTTTCTGGGGCAGTGCCATGAAGACACTTTTTGAAGAAAGGACTGGCGCAATGCTGAGAAAACAGGTGCCTGGTCCCCGCCCTCTGGGAGCTTAGTTTGACCAAAAAACAAAAAACACCACAGTTGCCATGGAGTCGATTCCGACTCACGGAGACCCCATGTGAGTCAAACTGTGCTCCGTAAGATTTTCAATGGCTGATTTTTTTGGAAGTAGGTCACCAGGCCTTACTTCAAGGCATCTCTCGGTGGATTTGAACCTCCAACCTTTCGGTTAGCAGCCAAATGTGTTAACCATTTGCACCACCCGGGCATGCCTAGTCCGACAAGTATGGGACTTTTTCTTTTAGTCTAACTTCTTCACTTCCTACCGTCCCCAGAGTTGGTGGTCACAGTGATAATGATGATGATGATGATATCAGCAAACACTTGTATAGCACGTGTTATGTGTCTAATGTACGCTGTTCTAAATATTAATGTTAGCTCATTTAATCTTCATGCTACCCTGTGAGATAGGACCATTACTATGTAAACAGGGAAACTGAGGCATAAAGGACAATGTCCAGGGTCCCACAGCTAGTAAGTAGCAGAACTGGAAATCAACACTGTACCGCTTCAGCACATGCCACCATATATGGCCTCCTAAGAAATCAAAGGAGCCCCTGAGTAGTGTAAACTGTTAATGCGCTCGGCTGCTAACTGAAAGGTTAGAGGTTCGAGGCCACCCAGAGGTACCTCAGAAGAAAGGCCTGGCAATCTACTACCCCAATATCAGCCATTGAAAACCCTATGGAGCACAGTTCTATTCTGACACACACAGGGTCGCCATGAGTCGGAGTCGACTTGATGGCAACGGGTTTACTGGTTTAAGAAATTAAGGTGGCTACTTTCCTTTCCCTCTTTGAGGCTTTGACCGGCACTTAGATGCGACTGAAGGGCTAAGACATGCCGTGCAGATGAGCGAAATCATAAGCAGGGGAAAGCAGAGGAAGGGCCTCTGCGGTTTTCTTAGTCAGGCACAGGGAGCTCCCTTCTGCGGGGAAGAAACCACTATCACCACGGGTTTATGACTCAGACCTCGGGAGCCCTGTGACCAGCAAGCCACATGTACACTCCCAGAGCTGACTGGTGGGGAGCAGAGCCCAGCAGCTCTCCTACCTCCTCCCCAGCCTTGCCTACGCACCAGTTCCAAACACTGCCTCCCTAGTCAGGAGGAACCTAGCAGGGACCCAAAGCAGATGCTGGCCAGCCTCAAGGTGACGGCGCTGCCCGTGCTGGTGGCAAAACTGGGCACGTGCTGGCCACTGTCCCCCCACTGAGCTGGCAGGGAGGATAGGGTGGGGCAGGCAAAGGGAGAAGGAAAGGGTGGGAAACAGGGGCTTCTCAGGTGACTCATCCTCAGGCAGACAATACCCGGGCAGGGGTCGGGAAATCCTCTAGTGCTCACAGGGGAGACCCTGGTTTTGCCCACGTCCTGCCCCAGGCCCAGGGCCGTGCCAGTGGGAGTGGCCACCTCTTTCCCCTGCATCTGCCAAGTTCTCCAAACACAAGAGTGGCTCCATCCCAGCAGCCTTGTGAGGGAAAGCAGGGCTGGCCTGTTTCTGCTCTTCCCACAGCTGGTAAATCTGATCTCAGAAAGAGAAGAGGCTGGGGAGGGGGCGGGGGTGATAGCAGAGAGGAATAAGGGAGAAATGAGAGCTGGGAGCTGGCGGGTGTGGCCCAAGGCTGGGGCTCTGTATGCGGAGGCTGGTGGGATAGAGAAGCCAGCTCCTGGCCCACTGCAGGCCAGAGCTCTCAGGGCTGCTTTGGGGGAAGAAAGGCGCCCAGCTCAGCAAAGGGGCTGGGTGGGCACCGGGCCAGGCACTGACCCGCCCGCTGAGTCACCCTCCTCAGTCCAGCTCTGATGCCAGATATGGAAACCAGGGTCGGCCGCAGGCCTGTTTGGGCCTGGTTGCTGGTTGCTGGGAGCAACGTGCTAGGCCCAGAGGGAGAGGCCCCCATTTCCTCCCTTGTGCTGAGGGAGAGACAAAGTGGGGCAGAGATATTAGGCTGGGGCTAAAAATAAGGAGTAGGAGGGACAGACGGATAAGGGGGCGGTGGAGGAGCTGGTCCAACCCTGCAGGGGCTCCCTCTACCCACCCCAGTCCCCCCGGCGGCCCTGCCTCACCGGCCCTCCACATTCCCCATGCTGAGTGGCAACCCCAGGAAGGGGGGAGTGAAGGAAAGCAAAGGTCTCTGAGCCCCTGGGCATTTCCTGCCTCACGGGACAGGGCGCCCCCTGTGGCTGGGCTGTGCAGACCTAGGTGGGTAGCAAGGGGTCCTTGCCCTCATGGAGACTGTTCTCCTAATCCTCCCAGGTGTCTGTCTAGACCTCCACTCGGGCTGACTTCCTGCTGGGTGATGGGGGTCTCCTGCTGCCCCCCACACCTGCCTGCAGATTTCGTTAGTACCACCTCGCCTTTCGTTCCAGCTGCTCCTCCTGCTGCAGAATATCCTCCTTTCCCTCCCTCCCTCCCTCCTGCCATCTACCCAAATCCAGCCCCGTCCCCAGTCCCCAGTCCCCAGTCCCCACCTCACCTGAGACCTGGCCCGGGCCT